AAGAGAAACAAGAGATCCCAGAGGGATCTTGGCGCCCACCTTTGTACCATCTTCATTAGTTCTTTGTCAGTTCGATCTTTTCTCTTCTTTCCTCTAATCTGTTTGATCCAGTCATGTTAAAAGTAAATGCACCTTGAGGTAACTTTTGATCTAAACTTAATACTGACGTGTATAAAAGCCAACCTTCAAAGTGAGTTTGTCATTTCACATATTTACCAGTACAGTACTTAATGTGAAAGAAATAGAATCGATCATTGCAATATGAGAAAGATCCGTTTAGTACTTCTTTTAATCCATTTTGTTTTTATGATCAGTCTCAAAATATACACAACAAGGGATCAAGGGGAACGTACATTTAAAATTTGAGAAAGATCCCTCTGGTACTTCTTGAGAAATAGCGATAACAAACTTTCACTATCAAAATCCAAGATGGCTGCCTGTCGGCCATGTTGTTTATCTGATCAGTCTCTAAAATTGCCCTGCACAGCTAGGACCAAGGGGAACCTACATATAAAATTTAAGAAAGATCCCTCTAGTTCTTCCGGAGAAATAGCGGTAACAAACCCACACTATCAAAATCCAAGATGGCTACCTGTCGGCCATGTTGTTTATCCGATCAGTCTCAAAAGTTGCCCTGCACAGCTAAGGACCAAGGGGAACCTACATATAAAATTTGAGAAAGATCCCTCTGATACTTCCCGAGAAATAGCGATAACAAACTTTCAATATCAAAATCCAAGATGGCTGCCCGTCGGCCATGTTGTTTATCCGATCAGTCTCAAATGTTGCCCTGCACAGCTAAGGACCAAGGGGAACCTACATATAAAATTTGAGAAAGATCCCTCTGGTACTTCTTGAGAAAAAGCGATAACAAACTTTCACTATCAAAATCCAAGATGGCTGCCTGTCGGCCATGATGTTTATCCGATCAGTCTCAAAAAATGCCCAATGGGCCTGCATCGCTCACCTGGTATTAATCTCACAATTGTAACCTTAAAAGAGGACTAAAATAAAGCTACAGGAAAAATATCAGCGTCTTGACTTAAAGTTTAAAGTAATTCAGAAACAAGAGGCCCAGAGGGCCTGTATCACTCACCTGTTTCTTTTGTTACATGCAACTGACATATAGGTAACTTAAGACCAAATTTGGTAACTAGAACACAAGACATTTTAACATCTCTTAAACGGTTCTGAAGATATTATTGTTTGAAACTTGAAATTTTAATGTTAAATCTATTAACTCATATTGACCTTTGACTCCCGACTTGCACTTAAATTTGACCTTTGACCTCATTACTGCAATAAAGAAAACAATTCACACAGCTGGTCTACATAACATACCCAAGTATCATGACTCTAGTCCAAATGGTTCTTAGGATATTGTTGTTTTAAGTTTTAAACATAACTGATACCAGTGACCTTGGAAGTAGGTCAAGGTCATTTTAATGAGGAAACTTTATAGCACTCCATCTTAGATACCAACTGGGCAAATATCATGACCCTGGGCCTTATGGAACTTGAGAAGAAGATTGTTAAAGCTTTTAATCAAAGTTGACATTTGACCCCCGACTAGCATTTAAAGTTGACCTTTGACATCATAACTGTGACTGAGAAAAATATTTGCACTGATGGTCTACATAACATACCCAAGTATCATGACTCTAGTCCAAATGGATCTTAGGATATTGTTGTTTGAAGTTTTTAACATATTTAACCGCTGTGACCTTGAAAGTAGGTCAAGGTCATTTTATTGAGGAAACTTTATAGCACTCCATCTTAGGTACAAACTGGCCAAATATCATGACCTTGGGCCTAATGGAACTTGAGAAGAAGATTGTTAAAGATTTAAACCAAAGTTGACATTTGAACCCCCGACTAGCATTTAAATTTGACCTTTGACCTAATAACTGTAACCGAGAAAAATATTCACACTGCTGGTCTACATAACATACCAAAGTATCATGACTCTAGTTCAAATGGTTCTTAGGAAATTGTTGTTTGGAAATTTTCACATATTTGACCGCTGTGACCTTGAAAGTTGGTCAAGGTCACTTCAATGAGGAAACTTTATAGCACTCCATCCCAGGTACCTACTTGCCAAATATCATGACCCTAGGTCCTACAGTTCTTCAGAAGAAGTCGTTCTAAAGAAAAAGTTGACGGACGACGGACTTTGGACGCCGGACAACGGACGCCACAGTACGGCATAAGCTCACATGGCCCTTTGGGCCAGGTGAGCTAAAAATGGGCAAAGGTCATTCATTTGAACAAACTTGGTAGCCCTTTATCCCAGCATGTTACTGGCCAAATATCATCACCCTAGGCCTCTCGGTTATTCAGAAGAAGTTGTTTAAAGGTTTTAAACATATTTGACCCAAGTGACCTTGAATATAAATCAAGGTCATTTATTTGAACAAACTTGGTAGCCCTTCATCCTAGTATGCTACTGACTAAATATCATCACCCTGGGCATTTTGGTTATTGAGAAGAAGTTGTTTAAAGTTTTTGACATATTTGACCCCTGTGACCTTGAATATGGGTGAAGGTCATTCATTTGAACAAACTTTGTAGCCCTTCATCTCAGCTTGCTACTGGCCAAATATCA